GATCTGGTGTTGATAAATTATTTTTAAGTAATGAATTTGATGGAGGTGAATTATTTGATGGATTTATATCAATATCTTCAGTGAGATTGTTTAACTAAAACATAAAAGAGAAAAGATTAAATGAAAAAACAAAACAAATATGAGTCTTTTTATTTACACTATCTGATAAACGAATGTTTTGTTGTTCAACAACATTAGGTGTTGGAAGATGATGAGTAGTCATTTTTGTTCGATCGGGTAAAGAATTTGAATCAATAATATTCGATGGCAAAACTGTTGAAGCTGTAGAAAGTATTTGATTAAACTTGGTATCATTCATAGTAAATGATTGTGAAGTATGAGAATGATCGAGAGATAATGATTGATGTGTAGTTGCAATTGGTTGTGGTTCTGGACTTATTCGTGTGTAGCGTGATCGTCTAAATAGAATCATTGATGGTTTTAAACACACAAGGATAAAACTAAAAGATGAATTTTGTTTCGAAATTATTCTAATAGCATTGCCTTTAGTTTTATATTTCGTTTAAAGTTAAGATGAGTGTCAGAAATAATAAAAAAAATTGATTTCTTTATTCACATACCTGAATATGAATGTGTTTTTTAGAAAATGCATTGAGAATGTAGGTAATTAATTTTCTTTTTTCCTTCAATAAATTTAAACGAAAGAATTCCTGTTGTTCGTTTTTTTATACTGTTGATTGCATCTGGGATTTAAATCAAGATGAAAATTTTTCTTTCTTCTACAAACTCAAGTTTTTTTCCTTTCATGTAAAGTGACTAATGCAGTTGATTGTTGAAGAAAAAAAGGCGTACATCTGTTACAGTCCATAATAAGAATATTCCTGATGACGAAATAAAAGACGTGAATCAGAAGATGAAAAACAAATGACAACATTGATGATGCGTATATATAAATATATATTAAAACATTTTCTATAGACGAACCTATAGTTTTAAAACTTGAACATAAAATCCGTAGAAATTCATTGAAGCCAAATATATGCAAAGAAGAGAAACGAACATCAAAAAACGTTATTGAAAAATTCGTCATATGTAACATGTAATGCAAAGGTCTTCTGTGAAAAAATGTCAAACTTTATTGGTCCTATTGTCAAATTTTAGATCAATGAAATTTCGTTTCTGTTAAGCGCGAAAAATTCAGTTCATATATGGCTTCAGGAGATGTTCTTCAGAACTGTTTGCTCTTGTAAAAAAACTTTATTTTACAAAAATTTCAATCAAAACTAATAAAAATAGAATTTTTGATGGATTAAATTTTGGTATACTTTTTTGATTCATGTAACTCAACATGATTGAAAAATAGAAATATTTCAATTTGAAAGGAACATTCTTTTTGATGTTTCTTTCTTCTTAGATTCATTTCGGAAAAATATATTTGACATAAAATCTGTAGTTCAGATCCAACAAAAAAACGATTTCATTGGTTTAGAATTTGTCAATATAATGTAATAGAGTTTGACATTTTTTCAAAGAGATTTTCATCGCATGCTATATTTTCTATTGCTATCGTGCTGATTTTTGATAAAGAAAAAATCAAAAAACAAAAGCTCTCAGTTAGATTTCATTAAGACTACAAAATCTCAGCATGAAAACCACTAATTAATAGAAAAAACCGTTAGATTTTACTTTATTCTCACCTATTTTGTGCTGTTAAAGATAAAGGATTGTTAGTAATATGAATTTGTTTATTTGTCTGTTCGATATCATTCATAATTATGTGACATAAAGAAACATCTACAATAAAAACAAAAAAAAAGATGAAAATAATTGTTCGAGATGTTTCTGTTTTCTTTTTACAAATATATCCAAAAAAAAAAGAAAAAGAAAACGACGCAAATAATAAAATACTTTTAATAGTGCAATATATTTTTTTAAATTGCATTGTGTTCCTGTTTTTTGTCAAATAAAATTTTATTCCATTTTCTAGCCGACCTTTATAATTACAAATCTTTTATATAGCATTATTTTCAAATGACTGAACACATATTAATAGATAAGTCGAACATATCATATAACGATTCGATTCGTTTACTTTTTGCCCTTGAAAAAAAAATCATAAAAGAGAATTATGGAGTCTACCTACAAACTCATGCATGAAAGCAAATATAAGAATAGACGAAAGAAAAGAAAAACAAAACAAGAAAAGTAGTTAACTGCTGGCATAATTTCCTTTTGACCATTAGGTGAATTATAAAACAAGGAAAAAAAAACAACAAAGAATATTGTCTTTCTTTTTTTTACTTATCACATTAGATCTAAAAATTAGAAGAAAACAAAGAAAATTTGTTGCTGATTGATAAAATTATTTTTAATATAAAACAAATATATTAATTATTTATATTCAACGAAAGATTTGTTACTAATGTATCTTCATCATTTGAATGATGATTTTGTCTATCATCTTCACCTCCGATTAGTACAGGTCGAAGTCGTGATGATGGTGGAACTTCATCATCATCATCATCATCATCACTGCTCCATGATGTTACACGATGTTCCTCATTATTATTATGATTATTATTTGTTCGCCAAGTAGTTGTATTTGAATTACCAAGACCATCGGCTGGTTGTCGAATAGCTGTTCGATTCGTATCATCTTGTGGAAGAAGAACAGGTGAAATAACAACAGATGATGATATTGGTTCTTCGCCATCGGCATCTGATCGAGATCTAATAACAACAGAATGATCCGATGGAGAAGAATTTGCAATTATTGATGGAACTGATGAAGCTAAAGATGGTACAACAGGTGCATCGGTATTTGGTGGATTATATTCAATATTTCTAAAACAAGAAGAAGATCTTTGATAGAATATGTTTTTTTCTTCCTTCAAAAAAACAAAAATTCAAAATCGAACCTTTGTCGATCAAGTTTTAAACCTGCAACACCTTTTTTTGGTGCAGACATTAGATCATATTTAATTCTTCGTCGACGTTGTGTATCATTTAGACGATATTGATGCATATTTTCAAAATCAATAACATAAAGATGACCAACAATAAGTATTTCTAATCGTCTATCACCACGTATAAATGATTGATCAATTTCATCATTTGTTCGTTGATCATACATCCACCAACCATTACGACCTTCATAATACCTTAAAGAAAAGTTTTATTTTATTTTTTTCTTCTGTCAACAAAATAAACTAATTATTGTCACATTCTTCGAAGGCTATATCCGTTCATCAATAATTTAATCAAGGAAGTACTCTAACTGAAATCCGCCTTTCGAGCACATATTGGCAAGTGTATCTGGTTTATCGTATTGATCGGAAACAATAACAAAAAAAAACAATGCCAACAATTTCCTCGTTCGATTAGGTTGACGTTCTTTTTCTCGAATGTCAAAACATAAAATTAGGATAAACTATACTGTGTGCACAAAGACGAGTGTGAATTATGGCTCTTCAAAGGGCGCTGAGTACTACCACTTCGCAATGGAGATTTAGAAGATTAGTTATGCCAACAAATTTATTTATTTTTTTTTTTTATACTTGTATGATTAAATTATCATATAGAGAAGAAAATGTCATGACTAAAGTATGATTTTATTTGAGATTAGAAGATACAGAGCTCACAAGAAGATTTCACTAAGGCTAGAAAAAAATTAAAAACGGCAAGTTGAGTTTTGACTATAGCACTGAATATTCGACATATTTGAATATGCAAAAGTTTCACCGAGAAAGAATGTTTTTTTTTTGTTAAGATAATTAGTTTTCATGTAAACTCAATTTTTGCAACATGTCTATGGCAAACGACATTTTTTTAAAGGAAATTCAATGTCTCAAGAAAGAAACATTCTTTTTCAATTGAAACTTTTCGGATACTCTAATTTTTATTAAATTCATTTAAGGACAAAAGTTCCGGTCGAAAACTTACTACAACAATCATAAGTTGACTCTAAAAGACCATCAAAATGAAACATTTTAGAATTTTCTAAACCTCTCTGAAACTTTCTTGTGAGCTCAATATGAGTTCAAACGACATTCTACAGATTCATGACGTATACTTAGAACATCATAAATAAAGCTGCTATACCTATTAAACCTACAACGTTAAGCAAAAGTATCAAATCGATAGTTCTTCTATAAACATGTAGTAATGACTTGTACTAGCTATTACAAACATAAAGATGCTTGAATAATATTAATCAAAAAAAAAAATTATGTATGCGTGCTCATCGATTTGAATGGTGATTCTTTCTAATCTTCATCTTGAATATTCTAAACTGATGAATAATAAATATTCGTATGTGAATATTTTTTTTTTACTCCATTTCGAATAGACTTAAGTATATGACAAAAGAATGATTGTCTTACCATACATGACGAAGTGTAGATGTTATTGATGAGAGTGATTCATCATCACGTAATTCTAATGCTAATACATTAGGTTTATCAATTAACTCACGTGGAAATGGTTTTCTAAGAATAGAAAAAATTTTCATAAGAAAAAAAAAGTATTTCTTTTTTTTATTTTGTTGTAAATCATACCGGCAAAGAGCACAATTATGACTAACATTAGCTATACCTTTGACACATAGAAAACAAAAGGAATGTCCACAAGGTAATTTAACTGGATTAATAAATGGTTGTAAGCATATACTACATTCAAGTGAACGAAGTGAATTCACATTCATAATTGATATTCTGATATATTTTTTTTTTTTCTATTGACATATGTTCGATTGATTGTATTATAAAAAAAAAATTTAACGTTCTGTTGTTTTTTATTGATCAATGTTTGAACAAATAGGAAAATAGGTTCTATACAGTGACATCTACGAATAAACTTGATATACATAAATAAAAATTAATTTAAAAGACGAAAAAAAGAAATTTCCAACGAATTAATTTTAATTCTATTAATTCTTATTATAAATTTTATTTAAAAAAATATAATAGATTTAAATCCATAGTAATATTCTTATTAATGGCAATGCTTTTTAATGAAATCAGATTGTTTTGTTCGTTTGAATGATGTATCTACCTCAACAATCATTTCAATTGTCAGCTCAGTTTGGTCCATCTTTAATAAATAGTTATGAGGAGCCACATCATTATAATATAGAACAGAACAATTCAGAAGGCATGTATCATACCATTTTATATAGAATTTATTTATATTTTAATATTCAGCACCACCTCTTTTACGAAGTCCAATTCCACCAGATCCTGGCTATGGAAAGGATATTCGTGTGCCTAGGTATCGATTTCTAATAAAAGCTTAATATACATAATCAAAGATTTTTTTTCCCTTCATCTAGAAATGCATACGATTTTCGTCGGCCCTTACGTCTTCATGGTTCAGATGCTAAAACAATTTATAAGCGAGCAACTGCTAGTACTGGTGCACCATTTTATCTTGATGTTCATAGTTCAAAGAGTTTTCATAAACCAACAAAAAATCATTTGAATGAAAATTTAAAACGTATTCGACGTATCATGCGAGAAACACAACAACGACAAGCTAGTAAAGAACAATTCGAACAAACACCGATGAAAGCACTTCAACATTCAAAACAATACGATCATATACAATCAAAAGTTAAACAAAAACTTGAAGAAGTATGTAATAGAAATAATTGATTACACGAAAATAAACATTTAATTAATAAGATTATTATGATCTCGAAAGAAAAATTGAATCTTATTTGATTTTCATTTGTGTCTATTGAGTATTTAATCATTTAAGATCAGTATTTGCAGAATTTATTTCTTTTTTCTATTGTTAAAAGAAATTACAATGTTATTTGTGTTATGTAGGATACTCAACGTTCATTATCACGGCCACAATCAGCTCAAGGAAACTTTCTTCGTGCACATGGAAATACTGGACCACAATATCTACGATCTCAATCTGCTTGTAATCTTCGTCGAGCTTCTGTTAATTCATCAGTTGATCTGGTATGATTAACTAGCGGGTTCTGAAAGAGATAATCCACCTATCGGAGAAAATCAAAGAAAACTTATCTACTTTTAAAAGTACCAACTAGTCTCTCTTTTTCGGGTTTTCTGTAGAATGGCTCAGCAGAAAAATATTGAATTTTTTTTAATTGAGCTTTTCTTGTAAGAGAGAGCAAAAATTAGCAGAACATTTTTTTTTTAAAACAAGGAAGTATCAATCTGAAACAATGTATAGTATATGTAAAAATCGTTTCAACTTAATCGGACACTCGAACCTAGAGAACAATGCGAAACATTGTACAATTCTCCTTATATACCTTACATAATTTAGTTTTTTCTCGAATTTTTTATCATGTGAAGACAGTTTCTAGATTCAATAATGTATTCGGTAGATAGATACTACTTCAGACTATTCAATGGCCAGAAAAAAACAAAAACGAAACGAATTTTAGGTCATGAAAGAAAGGATAATCTTAAATTTTGATATAGTGTCAATAAATCGATGATAACCTATGGCATATTTTTGTAGACCAAGAAATTTTAGCATGCTGATTTGCTTGTTTCAGGAAAAGTTCAGTAGATTCTGCTTTCCTGACATCGAATAAGTCATCAACAACTATTTGTTTTGAATCATCTTGAGACTTATATATGATTTTGAATTTAGTGAGTGTCTATAGAAAGCTCAAGCAATAATTGAACATAAGAAGTGAGTATCAGGTTGGTCTTCTGTTGAGGCCAACAGTTAGTATTATGTATCAGAAAGATATCGGCATATTGAATCTGCTGATAGATAGGCGAATGACGGAGATATTCTTTCCTTCTACTTATATTTAAAATTGCTTTCATTTTATAGGCAACAACTCAAGCAGATAATAATAAAACAAAACCTGATTATGTGAAAATAAATTCTCAATATGTTAAAGCCATTCCAAAAGTGCGTAAAGCTGTAACTGAAAAAGCTATTGAACAAACTCGAGAAAAAAATGAAAAAGAATTGAAAACTTATCAAGAAAAACAAAAAGGACGTGTGCCACACTAGTAAGTAATATATTTACTTCAAAATTCCTTTTTATTCTTCGTTAAAAAAATCTTTAATAGCATTGAAAAAATTAAAGAAAAACGAGATGAAGAAATTTATCAAGCACATATTAATGCACCTGATCCTGAATGTCCTTCGGGTCATGTTAAAATCGATAATAATCAACGTGTGTCGACTTTAGCACAACTTCAATCGAGTAAATTCAATCAATAAAAATGAGCCATTTTATTTTTTTTTGTAATAGATCGAGCTGAACTTGAAAAGAAACTTTGTCATTTACCCATTCGTAATGACTCTGTTACACTTCGACGAACTAAAGAAAACATTGAAAAGAAAATTATTGAATTAGATGAAGCAATTCAGATATTTTCAAAACCAAAAGTATTTATTAAAATGGATCAATAAAACATTTGAAAAATGTAGAAAATTTCGTTCGTTCGTTTGTTTCTTTTATATTTTTTTGTTTTTCTGGGTTATGTAAGATACTGGGGTTGTCGTTCTATTATTATGTAAGTTATTCATAAAATGATAAATAAAATGAATTCTCAAACAAACACTAATAACATGTAACAACAACAAAAAAAAAAACGAATCGGATTAATTTTGACAAATTTACACTGTTGTCATTCAATCGAGGACGTTCTTGATTACTACGCACGATAGTATTTAATTAGTGTGAACGTGTAGCTACAAATGCACGCATACTTATAGCTTCAGTCTTAAAGTATGTTTATTAATTCATATTTTTTTTTTTCATATATTGAATGTGAGAAGACCTCCTTGTCTTGACGGAAACAGGAAATTAGAAGTGATGACTAGCTATTATACGTTCTTTATAAAGAAAACTCGTTAATTCATTCATCAATTCGATACTTATCCATTACCATTGTATGATGGTAAGGTTAACAGAATGACATTCTCGTTCTTGGTCTTTTTCTTTTTCTTTCTCTTTTTCTTTTTTTTTGTCTATTCTTATTATATAGAGAAAGGTAATGAAAATCTCAGATTATTTGTTCTTTTATTATTCTCTATATTTGAGTAGATCAACTCAATGGTCTTACTGTACACTTACCTATGAGCTATTCATCATAATTTTAAATGTTTAATATAGAGACAAATAATGCTGAACAGATGGGAGTGTACACATCACTTACTAAATTATAATGTAGAAAAAAGTAAAAAAGAAAATGTAAGTAGTAGAAAAAAGTGAAATTTCATACTTGATTACTTCTCATATGTCAGTATATCTAATTTTGTAATTGAAGAAAAGAAAATATATTTCATTTACTTAGTTCATTTATTAACATGATGGTTTATTTACGATTTCATTTACTAATATTAGTATTTTTTCGATCGTTAATTATTATTACATTAATTTTTCTAATATTTTTCTGTCAATTAATATTCTCATCTTCGAAATTCAATAATCAAGCATTGACTATTGTAAAATCTATTGATGATTATCTTTGTCAAAATTATGTATTTACTTGTTTTTTTCGTCAACGATATCATCAATCATATATTCAACAACAATTGAACAATTGTAAATCTTTTTTAATTCTACATTCATGTCTTCATTATGATAAAAATTCAATACATATATGTCATCAAACTACACTTAATCAAGCTAAATTAAGTCTTGCCAATGAAACACCTTTATATTGTTTGTCTTCATCTATATATAAAACTTTCTTTATGCAACATCTACCTTCAAGAGCACTACTTAAAACGACTATCAACTGGCAAATATTCATCTTATTCTTTTTACTATTCATCTCATTTGTCATTAGGATGAACATGTGTTATTAACAATAAAGTTTTGTGAATATGACAATATGTGTTACCATTTTATTAAAAACAAAATGAAGAAAAAATAATTTACATAGGTGATAGACACATAAATGTCTAGTGCATTTATTCATTTCAGAATAAGTACGACATCGCCTGCTACTGTGTGAAATAACATTCATAAAATTGACTGTTAATGCATTTCGTGCATGTTCTTTCTTCTTTATCTTTTGATCAGGTGATAACAACAATAATGTAGAATAGAACGGGATTGTATGAAAAAACAAAGTGATTTCCTTTTATTCAAGTACGCATCATATCGATTAAGTTCATCTATGACAACCAAAAATCTCTAGTGATATAACGTATGAATATTTTTTTTTTCGATTATTGATTGTTCGATACAGACATGGAAAAGAAAAAAAATACAATGTATATGGTTTAGAGTTTGATCAATAGTCATATTTACTAAATTTCATTTCGTTTTCTTTCTATTTTTTGTTCTCATCAAAAATAAAAATGTATTAATTATGTTTCGAGTAATTTTAATGTTTGCTTGCCATCAATTTCCTCCATTTCTTTAAGAAGTAAAGCTGTATTGTAACGAAGTTCATTAAATCTTTTGATTGGTACCTCAACAAAAAAAGAAATTATATCCTAAAAATACAGTCTTGGACAATAGTAGCTAGAGCACATGAAGTGCTATGATTCATTATGATATTAAGCTTATATTTTAGATGCATGCATGCGACAATTAACTCCGATTACAAGCATCAACTCACATTCCATCTGTTCATATACAGTGGTCATTCTGATATGCCATTTGCTCAAGATCTTAGTAATTAGCACAAATTGAGATAGTGAACCCATGTCATAGTACTAAACTGATGAAATAGCCAAAGTCATCGTGGAACAGATTCATCTTGGTCATAATAAAAATTTACTTTTTAATGCACAGACATAAGATAGCTACGATATGGATCTTTCAAAAAAGAATTTCGATAAAAATATTTATGCTAACATGCTTGAAATAAAATGATCACAAGAATACTATGATGTCTAGATTATAACTCAAGTATATATGGATCAATAAACGAGTCGATGAGTGCTTACGATCAGGGTTGATTGTTGCATACATGCATCTAAACTATCAACTGAGTATCATAAAGAATAGTAGAACTTCATTGGAAGCAGCTACTTCTGTCCAAGACTGTACATATGTTCCTATTTTTACTTCAAATGTTAAAACTCGATTATCATTTGTACGAAATTGAAAGAATAATAATGGTTCAATACAACGTGATAAAGATCTAAAATCAAAGATTTAGTTTAAAACAACGGATATAAATATATGTATACGCTGTAGTTAAAGTAACATCAAGATTCCAATCAAAGGACTTTAATAATGGAAGACGAGGACGATCACGATCTTGAACAATATGATACAGTTGATCACGTCTATAAATATAAGATAAACGCTATTATAAACTTGTATTTATAAGCATCGATACATACTTAGTACCAAAGAGAATATTGTGAAATGCTTCAATAATTTGTTCAGAAAACCTAAAAAAAAATGATCCATAGAAAATGAGAATTAATATTTTGATCGATTTACTTTAAATCACGTAGATCATCTTTAAATATCTAAATACAGAACAAAAAAAAAAGAATTTTATTTCTTTCAATAGAAATTAATTACATCTGGTTTAAGAAATGCACCTGGTGGTTTTAATGCTAAACGAATGACTTGAACGAAACCATTGAAAATAATAATTATTTGTTCAATGGAAATAGAGTAGTCTTTTGAAAATTTCATCAAAACTTCAAGAGATGATGATGATGATTTTTCATTTAAAATTTGCATTTCACTCACTATACAATTAAAATAACAAATGAGATAAGAAATAATTGAAAAAAAAAATTATTTTTTACTAGATATAAGTTCTTGAATGGCTTTAAATGGCAACGAACTACATCCTTTTAGTGTTTGAACACATAGCAATATTGCTTTCGGTACAGTCCATCCATAAAATGGATCTTGATACGAACGATGATCTGGCATTTGAATCAAAGTAATATGGCTTTTTCTTTCTACAGAAAAAAGAAGTTATTACTGATTTTTTTTTGATGAGAAGAAAATCAGCGAAAGAAAAGAACGATAGACAGATGGAGCTATTAGATATGAAAGCAAATAAAAACTTGACATAGAACTCTAACTTGCACGTCTCATGAATCCTCTTCTTCGTTATAAAATATCATTAAAAAAAATAAGTATTTCGATTGTATTTGAATTTGATTTAATTGTATATAAATGTGCAAATATTATATAGTTGATGATGCTATTTATCTTGATAATTGAGTAAAATTCTAGAGATACACGAAGTGATCAAAAATAAAACGGGTGTGGGTGTATCGTTACCGATATAGATGTGAGTCTGAGTGTTAATGCGAGTTTGGGTGTTGATATCAGCTCCTTTTCATTTGCAACCTCGTCATTAGGTATTGCACTATTGATTATTTGAAGAAACATGACGTGTTGTTATGACAAGTAGGCAATGTCAACATTACAATTGAATTTTGAGATTCATGAAATATGAAAAAACACAGCAGAACGCAAGAATTGGTCATAATATAATTGGTGCTCTTTACATTTGATTAAACAGAACAACGAAAAATTCCATCAATACTTTTTAAAGTAAGCAACGACTCAAAGGTTTTTTTTTGAACAGTATTCCTTTAATAATAGTCTACATTTTTTGTATAAAAGATGATCATTATGAGTTTGATTTAGAATTATCTAACGATTGCACGAAATAAATAGAAAAATTTGATTCAGTGATTCATCATTTTGATGATTTAATAATAAAAGCTTCGAAGAATAATATTAAAATCAGAAGACTGTAACTATTAGCCTATATAAACTCACTTTCGTAACTGTAAAACGAAAAATAGTGAGATGCTTTTCTTAAAATTAAATCTTTTCTTCTCATGTATTGATCTCTTCACGAAGTAATTGATAAATGAGCGAAATCTAAGATTTCTATTCCTGATCTGCATTTTTACACAATAAGAGGTGACTGTGACGTAATAACGTAAATGGCAGCTGCACTTGAGAAAGTAAGAACGGAGAACGTATGAAACCAAAAGTTTCAACTTCAGAATCGGATTAATCTAGGCTGTAGATGTGGACATGATTGTACAGAACAACCATTTTCAGCTGTAGTTCATAATCACATATCTACACCCATCCAGACCCTATCCTTTCATCATAGGAGAATCGAGTATTATTTTTTGTGTATGTTCGGAGAGTAACCAGTGAGAAACTGAATTTATTAGTATTGCATTCGAACGAATCAGGAAAGATTTATTTCCCACATCATGGTTGACTCATCGGCCTTCCATATTGCGCAACATGTAAAAAATTGAAATCACTGAGAGTCAAAGGAATAAATAGATGGGTTGATCGTAGCATAATAACGTTTGGTTTTTTTCTTCTGATCGAAGTTGTCAAATGATTCAGTGTTGTATAACATTGATATATTTGCAAGTATGACTTATGATACCTTTCGTTAGCCTATCAACAAGTCAGTCATTAAGTAAATGTCGTTGCATTG